TGGAGTCTGTCCCGCCTGGGATGGTCACTGGGGAGTGATCTCTCCCTGTCCTTATCCCAATCCATGAGCTTTTCCTTATCTTTTTCTTCCCTATGTGGTTGAGGGGGGGCAGTGGAAGTTGTCCCTGCCCACAGCATCACGGGATGAGCTTTGAGGTCCCTTCCAACCCAAATCCCTCCAGGATTATGAAAGCCCAGCTCACTGTGTTCCAGCTGCTCATTCCCAATCCATCAGTGCCACTTGTTGTTCTTGTCCCTTCCTACACACCAGGCACTGCTGCTGACCCAGGACCTACCTCAGGTCCCCTCCATTTCCAGCTTTGGAACGTGCATTGGAAGTTCTGCCCAAATTATTTGAATTGGATTGGAAAACTTCCTTTCTCCCTCTCCAGGTTAAAGCCAGACCAGTTTGGAACCTCCTGCTCGTTCTTATCCAAACAGCTTCTCCTTCCCAGATGTGGATCCCCAGCTCCTCCCAAGCACAGCCCACACTTGGGCTCCAAAAAGTGTTCCAAAAAGCAGAGGAACCTGAAAGCACAGAAGAAATGAAGCAGCTCCTGCCTCCAACCTGATCCAAGGGAAAGCTGGGAGCCAGAGAGTGATCCCTGTGGCCAGGCTGCCAGCCCAGGAATTGGGAGATGCTCCAAGCCTGTCCCACTTCCCATCCATTTCCTTCTACACCGAGTCAGTCCTCTGAAACAAAAAGAGCTCTGTTAAAATGCACCTTTTCCATGAAATCCATAGAAGTCCTTTTAGTTTATATCCCAGTCACCTGGAATGGGCTCCTCGGGCCTTCTGGGGATTCTATGGATGGAAAGCAAGGGCTGTTCCTTTCCCCCCAGAGCTCCCTCAATGTGGTTCAGAGGGAGACAGGGAGGGCACAGGTCCAATATTTTCCCTGGCCGTGCCAGGTGTATCTGCTGTCCTTCCCAGGGAACCGAAATTCCTTCTGTCTCTGGATTTGGGTCCTGTTATTTCAGGGGTTTAAGTTGTTTCTCCTTTCCTCCCCCACCTGATCCTGTGCAGGGCAGAGTGAGACTGAAATGAGAAGGATATTGGGAAGGAATTCATCCCTGGGAGGGTAGGGAGGGGTTGGGATGGAATTCCTAGAGAAGCTGTGGCTGCCCCATCCCTGGAAGTGTTCCAGGCGAGGTTGGAGCAACCTGGGCTAGTGGAAGGTGTCCCTGCCCATGGAATGAGATGAGCTTTAAGGTCCTTCCAACCCAAACCCTTCTGGGATCCTATAAAACAATCCAGAAGGCACAGTCCCTGTCCTCCAGGGCTGGATGCCTTTCCAGAGGTGGAATCTCCTGTCCTATGCTTCATGGTGAGAAGGACTGGAGCAGGGAGCACCAAGCAGAGGGTTCCACCCAACCAGTTGGACCGTGGCAGGATCCAGGCAACCCTGTGACCCCAATGTCCCTGTGGGCAGACCCTCCCCGGTCCTTCCTGCCTGTGCTCCTCAGCAGGCTGAAAAAATGCCAAAAACGGGGAAAGACTTGGGAGAGAAAAGCCCACCTGGCACTTTTCCTGCCACCTCTGCAGGACCCAGAGCTCCGTGAGCCCTGAACACCCCTGAGAGATGCCAAAGCAGCCCAAGCTGGCAGATCCCAGCCCATTCCCAGGCACACAGCAAAGCCCCGTCTGTGGCACCCTGGGGACACCAACCAAGGCCACCCTGGGCCAGCTCTGCTTCACAGCTCCTCAATCCGGGGGGGAATTTCTCTCCCTCTTCTCCTTGGGAAGAGTTTCCCTCCTGTGGCTCTCAGATACAATTCCAGGCCAGGCTGCCAGCGGGATTTGGGTAGGAAGGGGTGGGAGCTAATCCCTTTTTCATCACGTTAAATTAAACCATAAACTAGACCTTTTTAATTCCTTCTGATGAAATTTCTCCCTGGAAAAGGGAAATGTTGTTTCTCTGTGTTTTTTTCAGGGAACAGGGCAGGAAGCACTTTGGGGGAGATGTGCCTTGGTGTTGCAGGGAGTTATCCAGCACATCGTGGAGTTCTCCAAGAGCTGGAGGTCCTTCCATGGCTGGCAGATCTCGATCCATCCCTTGGACTAGACTGACTCACCTCCACACGTGCATTTGGAATTTGGGAAGAGGGAAGAGCACAAATCGATCTGAGATGGTCCAGCCATGTAAGACGTGTAAGGTCCCAGTGCCAACCCATTCCCTTGGACTCTCCACATTCCCAAAAGCTCTTGGAACACCCTTTCCACAGCCCTCCTCTTCTGCAACATCAGGTTGTGCTGGTTCCTTCCTCAGTGGGTGGATCCAAGGTGCTTTGGGGGGAAAAAAGAAAGAAAAATCCCTGGAATATTTAATACTTAAAGCAAAACAGGTGGAGTGACCCAGGGTAGCTGAGCCAGAGCAGAGGGAGCTCCAGCAGGAGCAGGCACCAGCTCAAGGGAACAGAGAAATCCAGATGGGATTTCGAGGACATCACGGCTGGGTTGGAGGTGGGATGTCCCAGGATGCAAACACCTGATGGGAAATCCCTGATTCCAAGGCAAAAATAGTGGTGCTGGTGAGCATAATGAGAGTGGAGAGTGGTGGAACCCCCTTCCCAGGTCAGCAGCCACAGTCTGGGAAGTGGTTTCTTTAGGAGTAAAATGGGGGTTTTTTGGGGGGAAAAAAATGGGCTTTTACTTGGAAGGAAAGGGGGATTTCTGTGGGGGGGGGGGGGGGGTTTTGGGAGGAATATGGGGGCTTTTTTGGGGGAAATGGGGATTTTTGAGAGGGAAATGGGGTTTTCTGGGAGGGAAATGGTGGATTCCCAGAGCATTCCCAGATATCCGAGTCCTCCAAACATGGGGAGGTCCTGTCATGGCCCTGCCACTGTGTTTTGGGGATCCTGCCACCAGCTGGGAAATACTCCCCACCTCCCACCCTGCAGGGAGAGGAATGTCAGGCCCATGGGGAAACACAAACCCTGCTCCCCCACAGCTGCCAGGCCCCATTAGCACGGGGGGAGCCTGACGTGAAGGGGTTTCAATCCCAAACCACCACTCCAGAGGATTTTCCTTGGCTAAGGAACCACCCCCACGCTGGAACACAACCCAAGGCAGGAGCGTGCCCAGCTATTCCCAATCCCTGTTCTCTGAGGCTCCTTTCCCATTCCCTGAGGCTCCTTTCCCCTTCCCGAGGCTGTTGTTGGCCGTTTCAGTGCTGCATCCTCAACCTGCCTTTAAAATGAATCCACTCCTCAGTTCCAAGGCTTTGATCCAGGTCTGGAAAACAAAAGCAACTCCCAGAACTGAGGCTGGGGGATGTTAAATGAGTTATTAAGCCTCAGTACTGAACTATTCTTGTTTCAAGTGGCATTTGGTCCAGAAAGCAGGAGCAAATGGGTGGATAAAGATTCAGGAAGTCATTCCTAAGGTCTCCCAGGAGCCAAATCCGTGCCTGCAATCCCAAGCTTTCCACCCTGAGAAGGGCCAGGTGGACACGTGGCTCATGTCACCAGGCCAAGAACCCCCAGGGACACGAGCAGAGACAGGAGGAGGAGGAGGGGCTGGGGAGGTGAACTTATGGAATAGCTGAGGGAAAGGAAAAGTCAGGATTTCAATCCTGTTATCCCAGGGCAGAGCTGAGATCTCTGAAGAACACCCAGAACACCCTGCTGCTGCTCCAGCTAGATTCTGTGGATGCAGAAGGGGTGTGGGAGGGGAGCCAAGGGGTGACAAAGGGGGACAAAACCAAAGGGGGACGGGACAAATCTCTCTGTGCCCCTAAAGGGTGGCTTTTAGCACTGGGAAGCTCTAAGGGGCTCCTGGGGACAAACACCACCTAAGCAGGAGTCTGAGCAATCCAGGATTTTTTGGTCCAGGTATTTAAAGGGAAAAGGGACCCCAAAAGTTTCCACCATCGGTTATGGGGGTCCTGGGGGACATCCTGCCCCCCTTTTCCTTTCGGGATGCAGATCCAGAAATCAGAAAACTGGAGTGGCAAATACAAAGTGTTCTGCAAACACCCCCAAGTGTCACAGGCTGGTAAGAAGAGAACAGACCATTTCTCCTCTTCTTCCCCAGCTCCTCTAATTCCTGTCCCAAAGCCCCCAGGGCAAAGCCTCCCACCCTTCCAAATGTCTGCATCTGACCTGCGAAATACTCCCATGGTGGGGATGATCCACTGGGTGGGTCTGCAGGTCCAGACAGCAGGAAAAGAAACCAAGAAGCAAAAAAACCCACAACGAAACAAACCAAAAACCCCCATAGAAACATCAATCACTAAGGAAAAATAAGGCCACTGGCACTTCATCCATGATCCAAGCAACTAAAAACCTTGGGAACACCCTTGCAGGGGACTAAAGCTCTGCACCCAGTTGTGTCCACACTAATACTCTTTGCAGGTTTAGGAGTGCCTAAGGCTGGACTCTCCTGGGCAGAACACCCAGAGGTCAGGAGGAAAACACTGCTGACACCTGCAGCTCGCTCAGAAAGAAATCCCTGGACTTATTTCTGCAGAAAAAGTCACCAGGACACACACTGGGGAGGAAACAGGTACTTAAATTAATCCTTTCTAAATGAACATATGCAATAAAAATGGAATTAACACCTGTGCAGATAAAACACTTCAGCTCCCTCACATGGGGATGCTCCAACTGCATTTTCACTTGGTCCTAATCAGATTCCTGATAGCTCTGAGCAGGATTCAGGAACCTTCTGACTGGCAGGAGGGGGAAAAAGAATCATTTAATCCCCATTTATCCTGTACCTTGTGTTGATGAGGAGAAGGAGATGTGGGGAGAAGTGGCCACAGAGGAGAAAAGGGCTCTGAAAACCTGGGAATGAGAAACAGCAGCTCACACTTAAACAAACAAGTTATTTTAATAACTGCAACTTGAACATTCAAGTGAATATCATTTTAACCTGCAGAATAACATCTAAAAATCAATGTAATAACATTTTTAACACAATTTTAGGGTTCCAGTCCCTAAACATTTTAAATCTGAACAAGGCATATCTGCTAATTGGGATTTGGTGGTTTTTTTGGTAGGAATGCCAGTGAGTCCCAAGGCTTTTTTTTTAGTCTTCTCTTTTCCCTCTTCTTCACTTCCTTGCAGCCTGGTTTATGCTGAGAACCATCCTCTGGATTTTTTCATCATTCCTTAAAATATTGGCTTTGACAGCACGAATCTTGTCCTGCTGGTCTTTAATCAACTGGTCCAGCTCAGCCAGCTCAGCTTTTAATGGTTCCAGAGCACTGTCTGTGACGCTGAAAGACAACAGCAGGATGTTGGTGGGAACTCTGAGCTGCCTCAGCTTATTTAATCCTCAGAAAAAGGACACTGCAATACCTGAAAGGCTGCAAAGTATTTCATGGAATCACCAAATCCCAGAATGGTTTGGGCTGGGAGAGACCTTAATCATCTTGTCCCACCCCTGCCACGGGCAGGAACGCCTATCCCTAGAGCTCCAAGCCTTGTCCAACCTGGCCTTTAAGTTGTTCCAGACTTTCCTGAGAGAAAGTTTGGAAGCAGCAGCACAACGACAGAGGGATAGGGGAGAATATTGTACAGGAGAGACCCCCACGAGGCAACAGTAAAACTCACTTCTTGGCTCATCTGGTTTAGCTGCTAAAACTCCAAAAGAAGGACCAGAGAAGCTGTGGCTGCCCCATCCCTGGAAGTGTCCAAGGCCAGGATGGGGCCTGGAGCAACCTGGGATGGTGGAAGGTGTCCCTGCCCATGGCAGGGGTGGAATGGGATGATTAAGGTCCCTTCCAACCCAAACCATCCAGGGATTCCATGATATAGAAACTGAGCCTCACCAGGGACAGAGAATCCTACCCCAAGAGGAAATTTAATAAATTTAATGAATCCTACCCCAATAAACCACAAGTTGCATCTGAAGTCCATGAGGCCCCCTTCCATAATTCTGCCAATCCTCAGGAATGCTGCCCAGCCAGGGAATGGCAGCCTGGAGGAGCCTGCTGTCACCCTGAATTCCCCAGGCACCCCAGGGCTCATCAGCTGAGATCCACAGCTCCAACCCATTCCCCTTTCCCCTCCTTCCCACCACGGGAACCAACAAAAGCATCCCTACAACTTCCATGGAAGTTTCCCCACTGCAGCAGAAACAGAGCAAACAATGACGTGCATCCAAATCCCAGGACATTTGGGAAGCATTGTCTGATACTCTGGAATTCTTTCCTGTGCTGATCTGATTAGGGTCTCACAGGAAACCTCGTTGTGTTCTAACCTACCAGGAGAGGAGTTAGCTGAGAATCCACCCATCTTGCTTCCACATGGATGAAGCACATGGATTCAGGGAGCAGCAAATCTCCCTGGCTGGCTGTGACTCCAAGAATATGGATTTCTACTTCAGATTTGGGATCAGAGGACACACAGCTGGAAGGGATGGTGTGCTTTCAAGGAGTGTAAAGGCACAGAGGTGGGACAAGCAAGGCCAAGGAATCTGTTCCAATGCCACTCAGACCATGGAAGGACATGGGAATCCATGGCTGAACACGGGAATTCATGGCTAAACATGGGAATCCATGGCTGAACATGTGAGTCCATGTCTGAATATGTGAATCCATGGTTGAACATGGGAATTCATGGAAGAACATGTGAATCCATGGCTGAACATGGGAATGCATGGGAGAATATGGGAATTCATGGCTGAACATGGGAATCCATGGCAGAACATGTGAATCCATGGCGAAGAGCAGGCTGGGATTTAGGAATGCTCTCCCAGTCCTGACCCCAAAGCTCCTTTTTTTATCAGCTCTCCCCCCACTGCCCTTCCCACCTTTGGGAGAAGGAAGCCAAGGCCTGAGATGCCACCCCTATGTCCCCTCTGCTCTCTGCACACCCCCTCAGACTGGGCTGGAGGCACTCCCCCTCTCCAAAGCCCACTCCAGAGCCCCAACCCACGGCAGGGACTGGGGACAAGCTGGCTTTGAGAAATGAGTCCGGCCCTCCCAGAGGCAGGAATGTCTCCTGAGCCAAGCCCAGCCCTCCCTGAGCACACTGACCTCTGCTCTCTCCTCAGGGCTTCCTCGTGCTGCCTGTTCTCCTGCTTCCACATCTCCAGCTCGTTCTTCATGGCATCCATGTCCTCCTGGATGTAATCCACGATCCTGCCAAGGGCTAAGGCGTTCTGGCACAGAGTCTGGATGGAGGCCTGAGACTTCCCGATTTCTTTGGCTACCAAGTCCCTCTCTCTCTTCCTGGATCCTTCCGAAACAATCGGCTTCTCCTAAGGGAAAAAGGATCAATAAGGAAAGCATCAAAATTAGGGAAAAGTAAAGAATGCTTTGGAGACTGGGAAGGAGCTGGAGAAGTGTTTCTGACAGGATGAAATGGAAGAGAAAAACCATGGAATCACAGAGTGGTTTCAGTTGGGAGGGACCTTAAAGCTCATGCCATGGGCAGGGACACCTTCCACTGTCCCAGGTTGCTCCAAGCCCTGTCCAACCTGGCCTTGAACACTCCCAGGGATGGGGCAGCCACAACTTTCTGGGTAAGATTTGAAAGCAGCAGCAAGTTTTGGGAGCTCCAGCACCTGCTGAAGGGCAAAGCCTCCTCCTGGTTCTCTAAACCCCTTCTCTCCCTCCACTGTCCATACCTGGATTTCCAGCTCCTAATTCTGGTCCCAGTAACAGCCCTACCCAGCTCCAATACATGGTGGTGATTCCCTGCCTTGTCCTCCTGTTAACGGCTGGAAAACTGTGCAGGCTGCAGGTGTGGCCTCAACAAACTCCCAAAGAATTCCTACTGCTTCCCTCCTGTGCAGCCAGCAGAGTCTCTGTGGGGCAGCTCCTAAAGCCTCAGGTTACTGCAAGTTAAACAGGAGTTTCCTACAGTGGGAAAGCCAGGAAGAGCAAAGGGATGCCATAAAAAGAGCAAAGTGATGCCACGTTGTTAATTCACTGCAATAAGATCATTTCAGGAAAACCATCGCCGTGAAGGAAAAGCTCACTGGTTTTTTTCGCCCCCACCAAGAAAAAACAACCTGGTTTTTCTTTCTTTCCAACACTCCCACAGGTCAAATTCCCAAACCCAGCCCCACAGAGCTGGAAGTGCAGCTATTTAAAGTCATTGAAGATGTGCCAGAAAACTAGAGAGGCCTTTTTCTCCCCCCACAACCGCAGGGTGAACCCATTCCTGGGCACAACTCCTGGCTGCTGTGGAAGCAGGGAGGTGGCAGAGGGCTCCTCCCTGGTGCTGGGACACAGGATCCATCCTCTTCCCAATCTGGCCTGGCTTCCTGTGTGAGCCAGGGGCTGTTTGCTCAGCTGGGTTTTGAAGGCAGCAGCAGCTCCTGCCAAACCTTGGTGAACTCAGAGGCTTTGGGGGAGAGAGAGATGGAGTTAGAAAAGCACTTTGGGCAAGATTCAAAGGCTGAGCTTGCCTTAGGTTGGGCTTGTGCTTTGCCACACACGTGGTGCAGGAAAACAGTGGGATTTGGGAGTTTAGTGGGAGTTTATGTTCCAGTTGTTTCATTAGGAACGGGGCTGGAGTGACAAACGTGCTGAACTCGTGACCTTCGCTTCCGAAGGGGCTCCATGAGCTGCTAAAAACAACACTCCCTGAATTCCCTCCCTCACAGCAGCAGGTGTTTCATTACATACAGCACATAAACCACAGCATTCCGTGTTTTCTGGAGCCATCCATGTGTTCGTTATCCCGTAGGATGCAGGGATGAAAGCGCTGTGCTCTCACTGGGTTTCAAAGCCCTTCTCTGTCCTAACTCTGGTTTCCTACTCCTTGTGCTCCTTTCACAGGGAAGCTTAATCCATGGCACTGGACTTTCCACATGGAACTGGGAAGTTTAAAGACAACCAGCTTCAACTCAGCAGCAGAGTTGGATCAGATCCAGCAGCTTCCCAGGATAAAGTCCTGTTGCCTTGTTTTTCCCAAGTGCTCCAAACCCTCCCCACTTTCCTCCCCACCATCCATTATCCAAAGCCTCAGCCAAGAAATAAGGAATTCATTCCAAATCCAACCATGTCAGAAGGGAGAAGACTCAGCCATCCCATTATCTGAGGGTTGGGCTGTGAAAACCCGGGGAATGCTTCCTTTTTATTTTCCAAATGCCAAGTTTGGGAACATTTCCTACGGCATTCTCCTGGAAAAGCTGGGAGCCCATGGCTTGGACAGGTGGATCTTTGCTGGGTTAAGCCCTGGATTGGCTGGGGCCAGGGAACAAGGGACAGGAGGAGAGGGAACAGCCTCCAGCTGTGCCAGGGGAGGGTCAGGTTGGACATGGGGAGGAATTTCTCCATGGAAAGGGTGGTCAGGTACTGGAAGGGGCTGCCCAGGGAGATTTGGAGTCCCCACCCCTGGAGGTGTCCAAGGATGTGGCACTCAGTGCTCTGGGCTGGGGGACAAGGTGGGCATCGGGCACAGGGGGGACTCCATGGGCTGGGAGGGCTTTTCCAAGTAAAAATCCCCCAGCTCAGTAAAGAAGCAAACCAGAATTGTGCACTTCAGGTACAGAATATATCTCCATATAGATCTATAAAAGCACAGATCTCTAACACACAGAGCCAGCCAACAATTTGAAATATTCTCTGCCAAAATACGGAGCTGCCTGAAAAGCTCAAGTGGCAATAAAACACCATGGAATGTTTGGGATCAATCAGGAAAACACCCTTAAAGTACAGCAGCAAATATTCCAAACTAATTCTAGCATCCCAGGAATTTCAGCATGTTCTTTGTGTAGTCGAATTCCTCAAAACTGACAGGAAAAGGGCGACATATTGTCCCATCCAAAGTCAGCCACAGAATCCCAGGATCATTAAGGTTGGAAAAGACTTTTAGGGTCACCAGCCACTCTTTCTTCATTTAATTAACACTGCCAAGATCACAGAGTGGTTTGGGTTGGAAGGGACCTCAGAGACCATCCAGTTCCACTCAGGGACACCTTCCACTAGCCCAGGTTGTTCCAAGCTGTCCTTGAACACTTCCAGGGCTGGAGCAGCCACGATGCCACACGTCCTGCAGCTTGGGAATGATCAGCACGAACCCCTCAGGCTTTGCCAACTCTCACTAATTACAAAGAATTAAGAGGGAGACAAACCCATTACTGTGTGTCCCCAGCTCTGCAGTTACAGGTTAAAATCCAGGTGGGACACCCTTGGAAACGCCCAGGAATTCTGGCAGGGGGTTTATTACAGACAAGGTGGGTGGCACGAGGCCCGAGCACAACCTCTGCACAACCATGGAACTGGATATCTCCAGGAGCTGGATTAGCCCAGGCTGTTTCATTAGGCCCTACACCTCAACCAACCCTCCTTTCCCAACACAATCCATAAATTATCCCCACAGAAAAGGCTGGATCACTTCTGGAGGCCCAACACACCCCTTTCCTCCATGTTTGTCACGAGGCACCAAGACCAATGTTTAGTTTGGATTCCCAGGAAAAGGCCTGCCTTTCCCATCCCCTCCGTGCCAGCCGAACACGGGCACCTGAGCAACTGAAGAGCAGGAATTTTCTTTTTTAATCTTTTCTCATCAGTAGGGGGGAAATTACCAACAAGGCTCCAGAAACCACCAGAATTTCTAGAAACAGCCTTTCCTTACTTTTACAGCCACTCCTTTGTTCCCCTTTTTTTATTTAATTAACAGCTTTTTAAATATGCATCAAATTAGCCCGAACATCCATCAAGCATTTAATAGTTTCTACAGCCCCTTTTAACTCTACTGTTGTGCCCCACTATGAAAACAGGCCCAAGTAATCAGAGTTTTATTGAGCTCCCCCGTCTCCCCCCACCTCTTTCTACGGGACAGGGCAGAAACTTCATTTTGGACAAGCAATTTTGATCCATTCCATGCAAAACCAACAAGGTGGGAGCTTTTTTTTCCTGTATAAAATATGGGTTTGGATCATAAAGGCTGTTTTCTTTTCCTGCTTTTTACAGAGGCTGCATTTTCAGTAGATTGTAACTATCCACGAGGGAGCCCCGTAAGAAACTCTTTCACAGGAACAGGGGGAAACCAGTAACTGTGAAATCACTTCAAATGAGCAGGATGCTTTTCCTGCTGGTGCCAGGTATGGAGTTCAGTCCCAGGCCAAGGAGTTGGAGACACAGTGTTCTTCACCACTGGATTTACCAGACTCAGTCTGAGCTGGAAGGCACCTCAGGAGAATAAAAGAATGGATCTTTCAAAGGGGATTTTTAATTCTTCTTTTTTTTTTTTTTTTTTTTCTGGAAAGAAACATTCATATTTGATCCCTCTAAAAGGAGCTGGACTTTGCACTGGACATGGACACCCAGCTCAGCCCCCAGAGCTGCTCTGCTTTCCCTCACACTCAGCCTGTGCTGGGGAGAAAAATCTTCCCCAAATCTCCTCTATTTGGGGCAGAATTCAACACAGTAAGTGGAATCACGGAATTCCAGGCTGGTTTGGATTGGAAGGGACCTTAAAGCTCATCCCATTCCATCCCCTGCCATGGGCAGGGACACCTTCCACTAGCTCAGGGTGCTCCAACCTGGCCTTGGACACTTCCAGGGATGGGGCAGCCACAGCTTCTCTGGGAATTGCATCCCTCACCACCCTCCCAGCCAAGAATTCCTTCCTAATATCCCATCTAACCCGCTGGCAGTGGGAAGCCATTCCCCCTTGTCCCCCTTGTCCTGTCCCTCCATCCCTTGTCCCCAGTCCCTCTCCAGCTCTCCTGGAGCCCCTTTAGACCCTGGAAGAGGCACTAAGGTCTCCCTGGAGGCTTCTCCTCTCCAGGCCGCACATTCCCAGCTCTCCCAGCCTGGCTCCATCCCTGTGAATCCAGTCTGACCACACACACAGCCCAGGAGACAATTCCAGCTGGAATTAATGACATTAACTGATGGCACATTGGGTGCCAGTCCTGCCCAGCCTTCCTTCCCTGCTCACCCCACTGAAACTCTGCATCCACCAGCTCCTCCTCTGGGAAAAAACCACCTTTTTCCCACTGAAAAAGAACTTGGAATAAACCTGGTCCCTGTGGTAACCAAGCTGTGAGCCCTGTGCTGTGTCCTAGGACACACTCCCCTTCTCCCAGGGATGGAACCACTGCATTCCCACTTCTATCCCTCCCTTCTGGGAACACTTCCATCCGCTGCCTCATTTGGATTTATACTGGACCTACAGGAGAGAAATTCCATGTTTTTGTGTGCAAAGGAGCCAGGACTCCAGGATTATCCCAAATCCTGCCCCTGTGTTGTAACACCACTGCTTGGGGACCACATTATTTACCCTGGGACACCCCAGGATGGTGTGCTTTGTCTGGAAAACCTCTCCCAAATTCTGGGATATCTGAATCCCAATTAACAGCATTGGCTGGAGGGGACACCCCTGTGCTGCTGTTGAGGGATTAATTTAAAAATCACAGACCTGCAGAGCTTTAAACAACCAGAATCAGCAATAATTATATTTCTTCTAAGCCTCAAAGTGCTCAAGGTATCCCAATTTAATTAATTAAATTAATTAAATTAATACATTTTATTATATATTGTATAATATTTATTCATAAGAAATATTAAAATATTTGCTAAAATACTTTAATATTTGTTATTCTTTAATAAAGTATTACCCAAAGTTCCAGCCCTCACAGCCCTATTTTTTATTCCCTTTATTTTCCCAGCTGGCAGAAGGACAAAGCTTTAATGAATATAAGTGGGAAAATACTCCATTTATGTTATATATATTAATAAAATGAGGGAAGACAAACACCCTATTGACAGACACAGGGATATCCATCCTTTCATCACATGGAATTTCCCAAAGCAAGTTTTCTTTCCAATTTTCCCTGGATTTTTGGTTACCTTATCCCAGAAACCCAGCAGTCCAAGTCCCTTTTCCTCTCCAATGCAGGCCACACTTTGGAATTCAGCTGCATATTGATGGAGGAGATATTTCTCCTGGAGATTTTGATGGAAAACCAATTAAAGAGCCGGAAGTCTGGGGAGAACTGGGCAATTCCCAGACCTGGCACCAAATCCAGGGCCATGAACACAGAGTTCAAGCCCATCCCTGAATTCCCACCTCCCACTTGGCAGCAATGAACCTCTTGGAATTCCTCCTCCTTTTTAATGACTTTTGCTGCCTCTCTTTTCCAGAGAGATTCCACAGAGCAGTGGATTCCTCCCAGATTTGCTGCTCTGCAGCCTTGCCCTGCCCTCCTCACGAGGGACATCCCTCAGGGATGAGACATTCCCAGGATTCTGGGCTGACATGACTCCAGGAAAACTACACATCTCCCTGGATCACCTCTTCAGGAAAACCACTTCTCCCTGGATCAGGAATGCAGGAAAACTGCACTTTTCCCTGGATCAGGATTTCAGGAAAACCACACTTCTCCCTGGATCATCTTTCCATGAAAACTACACTTCTCTGTGGATTATGACTCCAGGAAAACTACACTTTTCCCGGAATCATCTTTTCAGGAAAACTACACTTCTCCCCAGATCATGACTCCAGCAAAACTTCTCATCTCTCTGGATCAGGACTCCAGGAAAACTAAACTTCTCCCTGCATCAGGACTACAGGAAAACTACACTTCTCTCAGGACAAGGATTTCAAGAAAATTATACTTTTCCCTGGATCACCTTTCCAGGAAAACTACACTTCTCCTTAGATCATCTTTTCAGGAAATCACATTTCTCTCTCTCTGGATCAGGATTTCAGGAAAAAACCAATTCTCCCTGGATTATGACTCCAGGAAAACTACACTTTTCCCTCGATCAGGACTCCAGGAAAACTGCACTTCTCCCTGGACCACCTTTTCAGGAAAACTCCTGATCTGTCTGGATCATGACTTGAGGAAAACTACACTTTTCTCTGGAACAGGACTCCAGGAAAACGAAACTTTTCCCTGGATCAAGATTTCAGGCAAACTACACCTTTCTGTGGATCATCATTTCAGGCAAATGACCCCTCTCCCTGGATCCCAAAGCCCTCAATGGCGTCACTGGAAAAGCAGGGGCAGCTCAGCCCCCTCCTGCAGGAGCAGCCCCGGCTGCTCGGAAAGGCCATCCCACGATATTCCAGGGGCTCGGGCAGGTTGTCAGTGCTGCAGTGGGAAGTCAGCAGGATTTTTCCAGCCCGAGCTGACACAGCTCAGGGCTCAAAAGGTGCTACAAACCCCAAGCAGGGACTGAATGGATGTTGGAGAGGCTCCAAGCGAGCCGGGAACACCCTGGATATCAGAGAAGGGACAATTGGCCTTTGCAAACATTTGGAGGGGTTCAAAGGGCTTTTGTCTTTAGGGTGTTCTCTTCGTCTGAGAGAAAAACCATCCAGAAAATGGAGCACAAACAGCAGGGGAAGCTTCCCGAGCTGGAAATCCATGGGATTGTGTCAATCCTGCCCTGTTATCCCGTTCTGTGCCCTGACAGGACACACCAACCAGCACAGAGGGACAGTGTGACGTGAGCGGCTAATGCTGCTCCCAAACTTAGGCTGGAGTGATGATCCAACAGCACCATCTAGTCAGAAATCCAGGAATAGAACAGCTTGGCTTGTTCTCCAGGGCTCAGGAATGAGCTAAAGCATCAACAGAGCACAATCCACCTTGAATCCTGTTTTGTTTCCAGGGAAATTTCCCCCTCAAGCTCCTGCCAAACAGCCAAGGGCGTCTCAGTGATCCCAGAGTTGCACATTTCTAAGGAATGAGGTGTGATCCAGCAAGGTGGATAAAGATGGGTAATTCCTAATGGATTTATGAGCAGGAATCTAAAAGTGTTTTCCTGTTTTTAGAAGGATTTGGTTTCTTCATTCACAGAATCATCACAGACGGGTTTGGGTTGGAAGGACCTTAAAGCTCATCCCATCCCACCCCCTGCCATGGGCAGGGACACCTTCCACTAGCCCAGGGTGCTCCAACCTGGCCTTGGACACTTCCAGGGATGGGGCAGCCACAGCTTCCCTGGGAATTCCATCCCAGCCCCTCTCCACCCTCACAGGGAAGGATTTCTTCCCAATATCCCATCCAAACCTCCCTGGGTTCATAAACCACGGCCCTTGCAACACAGGATAGGAAATTCCTTCCAGGCAAGCAGGCCTGGAGCTGCCCAGCCAATCCCAAACTTCAGGGAGGAAAATACACCCCCCAAGAGCTGGATCTGCCATCCCAGCTTTTTCTTTTGGGAAAGCTGAAAGGGGCAGAGAAGTGGTCAAGGCTCCAAGAGCCACCATGGATTTCAGGGAGCTCTGGGAAAAGCTGGACTCGGGGTCTGAGCTGCAGCATTTCAAACACTCCAGATCATTCCTGACAAAGAACATCGAGAGTAAAAACCTCCAGGGCTGAATGAAGATTAAAAGAAGTGAGGAGATGGGGAAGGGAAGATCGAGGAGTTCACGAAGTGCACTCGTTTTTTCCCAAAAAAGCTGTCTAATTTTGTAAGAGATTTCTGGAACTCACTGTATCCCCTCAGTGCCTCCTCACCAGCGCATCCAACCAGAGTTGGAGACTTCCCACAGGGCCAAGGGATCATAAAAGTCAACCTAAAAACTTTGTAAGGTTGAAAAAGCGAAAGCTCTCCAGTTGTAACAGGAAGACACTTAAATTAGGGGAGTTCAACCTTTTGTGAGCACTCACAGGTCCTTTTTAGACCCTTTATAAGGGAGCAAAACAACAAAAAAACCCCAACAAAACCCCAGCAAACCCAAAAACTAATTTCCCTTTCACAACTACTGACTGGGGAAAAAAAAAATCACAGCAGCAGATAGAGGAAAAGCTTGGTCAGAAATGGGAAAAAAACCATATTTAAGGCAAAGAAAAAGGTCATGATTACAATCTTTAGTCTCAGATTTCCTTGCAGGCCATTCCCATCTTACCCTCTCTGTTGTCTGGGATGATTTCTGTGATGCCTCATAATCCTTCTTGGTTTCCAGGATTCTTTTTACCAGCCCACCTGTTGAACAGTCCAGATATTCCTCAGCATTGCTTGGCACTAAACTTGTTTCAAGCATTAGAATCAAACCGAACTGCTTCCGTTTTTTATAATGCAAACAGTTTTTAGGGCCAGAGGAACAGCATTTTACTGTGTATTTTAAATCCTGAGATCCAATGTATTTGTTAGTTCCATTTTTTTCTCTGAAGCTTTTCTAGAAGTGCCCCTGAGGGCCAATCCCACCTCAGAGCTGACAAGCTGTACCTGACACTGCAAATGTGGGGAGAGCCCTTCCCAAACCTTCGTTCGCGAAGCCCGGCCATGATGATGATGATGATAGATATAAAAATATATACAAAAGCAAACATACCATGCTTCTGATCATCAACCAGCTCAACTTCAGGCTCCTGAACAGGCAGGAAGAGAGATTTAGTTGGAAAAAGTCGGTGTTGCTGTACAATTATTACAGTTATTCAAAAATACTCAGCTGGAAGCTGCTTAAATCCATTCCAGAATCCCAGACTGGTTTGGGTTGGAAAGACCTTAAAGTTCATCTCATTCCACCCCTGCCATGGGCAGGGACACCTTTCCCTATCCCAGGCTGCTCCAACCTGGCCTTGGACAGTTCCAGGGATAGGGCAGCCACAGCTCCTCTGGGAATTCCATCCCAGCCCCTCCCCACCCTCACAGTCAAGAATTCCTTCCCAATATCCTGTTTGTCACTGGGAAGCCATTCCCTGTGTCCTGTCCCTCCATCCCTTGTCCCCAGTCCCTCTCCAGCTCTCCTGGAGCCCCTTTAGGCCCTGGAAGGGGCTCTCAGCTCTCCCCGGAGCCTCCTCTCCACCAAGCTGAACATTCCAAACAAAACACAGAAAAACGTTCTGTGATGTGCACCATGCCCAAACCTTTCTCATGTGTGGCAGAGGCCCTGCTGCCTCCACCACAAACTGCTCATCCTCCTCCTCCTCAGGACCCTGCTGGTCCAGGATCACGGTCGGGGCCGTTTTGGCGCTGCCGCTCCTGCAGGAGACACGAGGAAAGTGGGAATCTTTGGGAGCTCTGCCCAGACCAAAACTAAATAAGCAACTAAAACTAAATAAGCAACTGAAAGCCAACTACAGTCCCAGAATCACTGAGGTTGGAAAAGCCCCTCAAGGGCACAGAGTCCAACCAGTGGGTGACCCCCCTTCACCCTGAGCAGAGTCCCCACGAGCAGTGGGGTGACCCCCCGGAGCTGGGGAGGCACAGCAGAGCTGAGGAACAGCTGCTTCCAGAGCCCACATTCCCACCTTTCTGGGATCAGGGGCTCTGCGCTCTCCTGCCGTCTCACTCGGGGAGGGGCCGGCCTGGCACTGCCGGGGCGCGGGATCCGTCTGGAACGACAGCGGGAAAAGGGTTCGCACGGGACACACCAACGCTGGGACACGAAGGAATCAGCTGGGGATCCACATCCCAGCTCATCTCACCCACACACCCCCCCTCCTGATGGAGGCCACGGAATGTTCTCCTCAAACATCCCTCGTGTTAATAAAATCACACCCCCAACTCCCCCGGACCAAGAACAGGACAAGGATAAAAGCCACACCTTTGGCTGGGCTGAGGGGGCACATCGGGAGCCGCTTCCCCACCCTCAGGCTTTTCAGGAGCCACGTTCTCCACTTCTCTCCCTGTTGGATAAAACAACAGAAAAAGAAAAAAGGCAAGGAAAAGCTGATTTTCCCTCTGCCAGTATTTTGAGTTGTACCAGCACTCACAGAACACAGCAGTGCCAAGCTGCTTCAGTTAGAAATAAAGTCCTACATAAAGCTAAAGATCTGGGGGCCTTGCCAGTTTGTAACCAAGCACAATTCAAAAGGGACACTGAAAAATTAAAATTTAAAAAAAAAATTAAATTTTTTAAAAATGTTAAGACTTCTTAACTGAAAAGTTAAATTTCTTCGGTTTTACATGTTTCTTAATATTGGGAGTTTCCCTCAGCTGTGAAAATACAATGACCTCACTCAATTTTTGCAGAGGATTCTAGGATTTGAGGATTTCTTCTGCAATCCCCCCCTAGTCCAGATATTTAATACTCATAAGGAGAAGGAGGAAGGAAAAACATCACATACTGGCATTCCCAAAATGGAAAACTGACCTTGTATTAACGTGGCTGTTCAAGAGCTCCCTGGAATAGATTTCAAAAAATTCCCAACAGGTTTTTATTTTCAAGTGAGAACCCACAAAGTGTTTATAAACTCTTTACTTCTGTTTTTTGGTTTTTTTTTAACACAAAGCACTTTCATAGATGGCTTTTGGTGTTAAATAGAAACTACTTGGATAAAGTTACTTGAAGCACTTAAACACAACTCACTCGTGTTTTGGTACAGTTTAAAAACTCTTAAATCCATCAAATAAAGGGGGTAAAAAGCATTAGAGAAGTGCTTTATTTATTAAAAAGCCCTTTTTAATAGTAGAAGTTTTTAACTATGTTTGATGCTGGTCTTTTATCCCTGGGATGTCATGGGGAAAATCATCTGGAAATAACAAATACAGTGATTTTTTTAGATAAATTCAGAAATTCTTTAATCATAATCTGACAAAAGAACTCCATCCAGGACTTGGCAACTACTACTAGGGCCAAGAGAAGAGGGGAAAACACTTCAGCTCGTCCCAAAGTACGCCCTAAATCCCTGAAAACCTTGTGGAATGACTACCTTCAGCTCTCCTCTGATGAACCTGCTCCAAAGGGAGTTGTGGAAGAGCAATAACTGGGATTTTCCAGCGGTTTCAACTCCCAGTTCCCATTTAATTCCACTGGAATTACCTGGAGCATAAACCTGATGCCCAATGAACCAAGGAAAGGATAAACCTGAGTCATTCCAGGGGTGACTGAGCAAATATGGGAGAGGCCAAAGCACCAGAACACCCTTTTCCAGAGGGCTTCACACACCCATTCCTGATTTAGGGGGCTCCCAGGAACCATGCAGGGAGCATTCCTACTGCAGGACACCACAGGAGATCATTCCTATGCTGACAAATTCCTCATTTATAAAGGAAAATAAAAGTATAATGGAAAGGTTCAGAGCCTTGATGCTCCACAATATATAAAATGTGAAGCAAAATACAGAAATAATACTCTAAAAGAGGCAGGAAAAGAAGTTTATTTCAGCTAATAAACCATGTTTTTATATCACAGAATCACAGGATGGTTTGGGTTGGAAGGGATCTTAAAGGTCCTGAACCTAAAAAATTAAGGTTCACTAATGCATTGCTGTTCCACTGCCTCATGGAATAAAGCTGAAAATAAAGAATAGTCAACACAATAAAGGTTGGACTTGGAGGTGCTCTTGGAGATGTTTTCCAACCTTATTTATTCTATGATCCTGAATATTCGGTTCTTCTACCACCTGAGGATCCAACGCAGATAAATAATGAACCTCCAGGTACTCCTCTTACACCCATTCAAAATATAAATAGAGGGACATAAATCATAAATAAATCAAATATACATAAATATTCCAGCACAGACACATTCCAATGGACAGGGCACCTTTAACTGATGCCAAGGAATCCATGTGGAAGTTCTCCCAGTTGGGGAAGGTCCCACAAATGTCTTGGCCATCCTTCTCTCCTTCCTCAGACTGACACAGGAGGGCTGGGAAACACCCTTTGCTCTCCCACATCCCACATCCCTGGGATCACCTTTCCCAACTAAGCCAAGCATCTGGATTTGGAGAAAACAAAAAGGTAGCTTTTTTCCTTCAACCTCAGCTCTCCCTCCTACATTTTGCTTTTCCAGGGCTCCAAGGACCTGGATACAAACACCATCCACAATCCACATCTTTGGGAGCTATGAACAGCTCGGGGGAAGAAGAGGGAGAAATCAGAATGCAGAGGTGGAATTTTCCCCTGGAATCCTGTAAAATGCAAACACTGAGGCTCCCAAACCTGTCCAAAAAGGCCATTTGCACTGACTGAGTTCCTACAGAGGGAATCCCAAGGGACTGAGGTGCAGCATTTTCCTTGGGATGTGGCCTCTTGGAAAACTTGCCAAAGAATAGGAGAAAGAAAATAAAAGTAATTGTTTTATGAAGGAATGTACTTTTTTCAAACCAGCTGTGATTAAAACACAAGGCAGAGGTTGGATGAAGTGTAAATCCCCTTCCTCTAATCTTTTACCTGCATGGATTTGATCCCAAAGCCCCCAGGTCGGACTTCCCACGGCACTGGAATTTTACCCTGCCCTACCTTTGTGTTTTCCTGCAGCTGCTGGTTCAGTTCTCTCCTGCAGTTCAGCTCCACCATCCTGGGCAATCCCACTCCTCGTGTCCACAGCTCCTGGAACAAACCAGTTGGTGGCCAAATGAAACCACAGAGCCAGGACAAAAGGGCTTAAGGGCTATCCCAGTGTGATAAACCCCCCTCAGTGGCAATAAATCACAGCCCAAGTGCACAAAGGCTCTTCTAGGGGAGCACTGAGGGAACTCCTGATGTTCCTGCAAATTCGTGGCAACTCCTTCCATTCAAAACAATTTACAGATATTATTTATTAGCCTGGTCAAACAATACAATAATAAGAGCGTTTGATTACGGCTAATTATCCTTAATTAATTCCCTAAGTTACAGGGGGATGCTGGCGACAAAAGCAAAGTAAGACACAGTGGAAAAAAGCTGAAATATTCAGTATAAATCTGATTTTTAACTGGAGAAGAGACATTCCCTCCTTGATTTCCAGTGAATATTAGATAATATAGAAAGTCCTGATCATCATTACCACTGTGCAAGAAGCATCAGCCTCCAGAAGGTTTTCCTACCCTCTGGATTCCTCCCTGGAATATCCTGAGCTCTGCTTACCTATTGCAGCTCCCCCCAAAAAAGGGTAATTCCCCAAAATATTTATGGCTCTGGCAAACTCCAATTTTGAGTGTCCTGCCCCAGGAGGATTTTCAATTATCTACCTCAAAGCCTGGATTTCATCATTCAGGAAAAGTGGATTCTGATTTTAAGGGACAATCCTATAAATGGGGAGTGTGTGTGTCTGGTCACTGCAGTTTTGTGCCAGATCAGGCTCTGAAACAAAGATTCCAGTCTCGGGAAATAAAAGAAGTTATAGGATCACCCAAGGATCACTAAGGAACAAAATAAGACTCTATTTCATGGAATCCAGATGGTAATTTCTTAGCTGCAAAACTATTAAAACCTCCCAGCACTTGAGATGTGATGTCATAATTTCAATTTCCCGGCACCGACTTGGATTAAGCTCCTAAATTAACACGGATCCAAAGTGCCAGGGCTTTTCCAAGGTATTTGAGGTGCATTGTCCTGAAATCAGTATTTTGGACATGGAAACCTAAAGCAAAACCTTGAAGAAAATGTGGGGTTTGGGGAAGATTCAGCAACACTCAGCTCTTTGTACTAATAACAGTGACATGGGCAGATGAAGGGGATGAAGACCTTCCTTAGTCTAAAAAGCACCAGTTTTTAACCAGAATTGGCTATTTTTCAACAGGGATCAATAACAGGGGGCATTTTATCTCCTGAACAGAGACATTAAAGTGATTTCTGGACTTCTGGGGTAAAACTAAAACATCATCAACCACCGAAGGAAAATTAAAATCCACCAGGTCACCGAAATAAAAATAGGGGGAGCGGGAAAGGCATTTATTTAAAGTGGATTTCTTTCTTCATTTTATTCGGTAGAAATGAGGTCTGGGGACCAGCCAGTTTTATTCCTTATCCTTGTGTTTCTCCAGGCATTTCCTCTTGGTTTCCCATACAAAGCTTGGATTCCTTTTCTTCCTGATGTGTAACTATTAAGCACTTGGAATATTCGGAAGACAATCTAGTTCCATATATTAAATATTTAATATATTTCTATACAAAAGCTGGCGAAATAACCAGTGGAAACGAAGGACCTCAACAGATAAACAATTGGATTATTTGGAAAGCCTGGTTTAATGTCCATTAAACTCAGTTCAAACCACTTGAAGATTAAAAACTTCACTGAAAGCTTGTCTGGAGAGACAAAATTGCAGGTGTGAGATGGTTCCTGCTGGTTGTCCCCGCTGTTAAACAGCTCCAGGGAACAAAGCCAGAGGTTTCCACCCAAAGGCACTACAATCCATACCCGGCTCATCTTCCCTGCTCCAACTCCCACCACAAGGTTCCACCTGGAATATTTGAAGTGTCCCAAGCTATGGAAATCACTCACAAAGCTTTGGCTTGGCTTGAATTCCTCCAACTGGCTTTTCAACTCAAGGAAACCCAGGAAGTGGAACACAAATATGGAACAAACATCCCGGGAAATTCCTTTTTGCACTGGCAAAAAGTTCATCTCTGGGAATCCCAGAAGCACTGAGGTTGGAAAAGGCCTCCAAGATCATCAAGTCCAACCTCTGGCCTTGCCTATTTGGGTGGTTGTTTGGTGGGGTTTTTTTAACAAATATTATCTTTTCATTTATATCCCCAAGAATTCCTAAAGAGCAAAGAGCGAGATTTCAGATCCTTGACAAATGACTGAATGATTCAGAAAAGAAGTGAAGTTTGGATTCCCTGTGTATATTTTGGAAGAGCACTCTCCCCAAATATCAGTGAGTGATAAAGTTACAAATTTAGAGTTCATAGCTGTAGGATTCTTATACAGAAAAGCACATTTTGCCTCACAAACCCTTTTCATCTTCTAAAACAACCTTAAATGACATATCCTAAGCCTTAGTAAAGCACTGTGCTTTTACAAATTTTAAATTTACAGATGTTAAATAAGCCAGGAACAGTTGCAGGCAAGTCAAAAAGTCCATTTAGAGAGAACACAATAATTACCAAGAGAAGAGAATTCATCCCTGCACGAGAAATGTGAGCAAACTGAACCCAATTTCACTTTTTCTGGACCAAATCCAGGCAGGAAAATTGCCTCTTGGATTCATAAATGCAGGCTGGGAGTATAAACCGAGGCCTGACAATAATAAACAAGGATATTTCAGTATTTCTGCTGTTTCTATTCACTAACCCTCCAGCATATTGAATAGAAATAATAATATCCTCCCTCTGGTTACCTTCTCCTCCGGGTTTGGAGCGCTGCCTCGATCCTTTACTTGAAGGCTGCCTTGATATCCCTGCAGGACTTTCACTCTGGAAAAGAAATTCCAGAAATTTATACAACTGGAGATCTAAAAATCCTATAATTATATCTAAAATTGACTTACACGTTTTGCTTTTTCACCTGTATTTCTTCTGCATCGAAAATATTCTCTTCAGAACTGACCCACACATTTTGGGTGTGTTTCCCTCAAAGTCTGCAGGGTTTTTTTCCTGGGTACATCCCAGGTCAGATTTCCTTAGTGTAAAACCAACTTCCAAATGTGAATGAGGAGTACCCAACCCTGTGGAAGTTGTGGAGCGCCCGTGATGCCACTGCTGGTCTTGGGATCTGATGTTTGGCTCCTAAAAGGAGTAAAACGCTTCTAATCCCCTCATAACCTGCCGGGAAGTCTTTTAAATTTCATTTCAAAACAGAAGCAAGGATTAAACAATTGTCCTACTGGGCTTCCATAGTCTATCACTCAAATGGCAACTTCCTTGGATAAAGATCCTGGACAAACTAAGGGGGTGCTGCCAGAAAGTCCAGCAGACAATGGATGATCCGAAGTTGCAGTTGGTCCAGGAGGGAGGGGGAGAGTTCCCAAGGGGAAAAGATGAAACTGGAGGAAACTTCAGGATGTTTCTGAGGACCCTGACCTTAGTCTGGAGGCGGAGAGGCCAGGAAATGAAAGCAGGGAAGCACACACTGGAATGATCCTGATCTCCCTGGATGCAGCTGGTCCTGCCTCAATCCAGGAACACCTGACTGACAATTCCTTCTGCACCTGGCAATGCTCCTTGGAAAGGAGCAAGGCTGCAAGTTGGGGAAAAGACATGCAAAAGCAGCAGTCCCTTTGAGATGAGATGCCAGCATTCCCAGGGGATTTGCCACTCGCTATGCCTGGAGCACAGCAGGGGCCAAAGGAATCCAGAGAAGGTGGAATGGAAGGTTCCTGCCAGCCCAAAGAAACTCCTGGGAATGGGAGCGGGGGGGAAGGAGACAGCCCATCCCCTTACACCCATCCTGGCTCCCACAAGGGGATCCTGCTTCCACGTGGACCAGAGCATGGAGCCAGTGGTGGGATCTGGCCCTCACTGCACACAAGAAACCAGTTTCCAGCTTCCAACAAGTTTCCAACACGGACGGGGCTTGGAGCAACCTGGGCTAGTGGAAGGTGTCCCTGCCCATGGCAGGGGGTGGAACCAGGTGGTCTTTAAGGTCCCTTACACTCAAAGCACCCTGGGATTCTATGATTCCACGATTCATGCTTCCAACAACTTCCCTGCCCTTATCCCTAACTCCCTGATTTCTTTAGCAAAGGAAGTAACAACCTCTGAACACACCAAGGTGAAGTTTCAGGTGATTTGTAGAATTCCACTTTACATTTCCGGGCTTTCTATCCCAATAATCTCTGCCCCCTATCCAAAATCCTGAAATATGTTTAGCACCTCACAGGATTTCCTTCCTCATGTGCTTTCTCTGGGGAGTTTGTGTGAACTAAGAGTCCCTGAAGTTTGCATCCAAGATTTATTCCACCCCTGCTGATAATCACAATCCTTAAGGTTGGAAAAGACCTCCAAGATCATCCTGTCCAACCTTCAATGTCCATGTGTTTGACCTAAAAATGAGGGTTACAGACTCTTCCAGAGTTATGCCAACGTTCACCCTGGATGTTCCACTGACCTGCAGGAGAAAACTGTCAAGTCCCACCATTAATTTTCCAGAATATCTTGCACACAGGACAATGGCCCATCCATGGCATAATGGATAAGGACACAACAAGATGCTCTGGGTTGGAAAGGACCTTCAAGCTCATCTCATTCCACCCCCTGCCACCTTCCACGAGAAGGTTCCTCCTCTTGAGGAAATACAAGGAAAAACAGACAGAATTCCCTCAGCTAACATTGAAGTGGTTCATCTTCATCATCTTTAATTACTTTCCCAACCCCAAGCCTTTGCAAGGAGGGAAAGTGAAGCCCATCTGGCACATTCCAGCTCCAGCAGCTCCTGGGTGATGTCATTATTAGCACAGGGAGTTGGGAAGAGGCGCTGAGGCTTCTGGAAAAGTGGATTTAGTTTATTGATGTCAGGCAGGGGCTACAAATACTGGTTTTGCAGAGCCACTGGCAGCAGGTGCAGGGTAAAAGCTGACATTTCCTCAAAAAAACCCTCCAAAATCCCACAATATTTATGATTTGGGGGTTTCCAAAGGGAGAGAAAAGAGGTCATTCCCCTTCTTAGGGATTCACAGGCTTTGAAAAGCAGCCACTGGAGCCATTAAAGGGAAATCTTACACTCCATCCTGGAAAAAACACATTCTATGGAATTCTTGATGGATGGATGCTTCCCATTTTTGAGTGATTATGGAGAGGATCCAGCAAACCATCCATTCTGCTGTTCTGGCCTCATTATTAACCTTTAAATAGGTTGAATTTCACTTTAAAATGTAAGAAAACAAGTTTTTCTGATGTCTCAGAAATCATTAGATAGTTCCCCCCTCCAATTCATCAGCTCCACTGATAGGTAGATAATAATAATTAAGAACAAACAAATAATAAAAAATAAGAATTAAGTGTGTGAACCGAAATTTAATTCAACCAGCCCTCAGAAATACTTTTTTTTTCTACTTAGATCCACAGGGCCAGGAGGTGTATTTGCATTTCTACCATAAATAACGTGTGCAAGGATAATTTTATATAAATGAAACATACATAAAGGGAGATCTTGACTTGCTAAGGCCAACTGAAGTGCTGTGGGGAGGAGACTTAGCAGGAGAACATCAATCAATTATCACTTGTGAAGCCTCACAAGATGATGTTCATCTGCACACGAACGCTTTGCAAACACAGAAAGATTAGGAAAATCCCTCTTTCTGAAGCCTAAGTTGAAATGATGGCTTTCTAACACACTGACACCAAAAAGAGGGGGTCATTCCCAGCAGATTTCCATGGAATGATTCTCTCTGCTGGCTTTTTTTCGTTCCATAGTTTGTTATAACATCCAGTTAAGCTCCGACAGAAAGAGAAGTTGGTCAGATCTGATTCAAGGGACCATTTCCAGAGCACTGTGCTTTGCAGGGCATCAATAAAACTCATTTTCCAAGTGGCCAAAAGTGACAGGATATTACACAAAGCTTTAGCCAAGAGTTTCAGCAGCCACGGGAAACATGGAGGAGCCTTTTCCAAGGTGTTTGGCCCCAGGGACAAATGACAAACCTGTTCTGTTCCACTTCCAGCCCAACAGCACCATGTGCTCCATGACCTCCAGCACCTTCTGTGCAAAGATAAAGTGATCCTGATTATTTAGAAGGTCAAACAAAAGCCATTTTAAATAAGATTTTTTTTTTTTACCTGAGGTGGACTGAGAGAGAACAGAACAATCCAACCCTGATCCCAAACTGTGGAATGCAAGAGCCAGCCTTGAGGCAGCTTCTGATTGCCATGTGTTGCCCAAATGTCTCTTAATTCCTACTTATCCTTGCTTTCTTCTAGCTCCAGAAAATTAGAGATACCCATGGGATGACTATTGCACAACACACAGAGTTGCTTTAGTGACAGAAAAATACACTGAAATTAAAAAAAGTAATAAAGTCAACCTGTCAAAATTTATGTAGATTTTAAAGCTTGGATAATTAGCAACAAGAGGAATTAAGACTTGCACGAATACACATTAAGATCCTTAATTTTATAGGAGCAAAGCCAGGAGCTAAACTTTGAAGGCTTTGCTGTACATGTAGAATATGAATTAAAAAAAGCTGAACTGATTTGTTCTCTAAAGGAAATGCAGAGAAAAGGTAAAAAGGTTCATCCTCAGGGCAAAAAAGAGGTTGCCTCCAACTGTTTCACTTCTCTTATAGTGAATATATATTGTATAACCATATATATAAAACATAGCTGATGATTGATGCTGAGGATTTATTAATTCTGCAGCAGAGACTGCAAAATCCGAGTCAATATTTGCCATGTGCACAGGGGGAACTTGTTTGCCTTCCTTTGAATCCATTTGTTTCACTGCCACGCGACTTCAATGGAGCTACAGTGGTGAAAAGAGGGCAAATCCCTGGAAATAAAGGCATTACCTTGCTGTGGATTCTAATTATTTCATGCTGGAATTTCCTCTGTTTCACTCTGTGCAACTATCACAGCTCGAAAAACTCACTGGGCACATTTTAATCTCATTTTCCTCTTCCACAACCTTAAAGATGAGGAACCTTTTGTCCTGCACTGGTTTAAAGGGCGTGTTTTCATCACCTGAATAACAATAAATCAGCAGCCTCTGCTCTCACACAAGCAAACAGGGGTAAGAATGTCCTCTAGATTTCAGGGAATAAAATCCACTTCCAAGCCTTGGAATCCCTCCCAAAAGCACTTAAGAAGGGAAATGAAACTTGCCTGCCCCCGTGTAGGACTGTGGTGCCCAAGAGCACGACGAGAGTTTGGGACGAGGCTCAGAATTTCCATTAGAGCCCCAGTTTGCAGGAAGTTTAACTTGGCCAGGAATATTTGCTTGGGGCTAAAAAAACCCCTTCTTTTATAAGCTCTGCCTCCAAGTGCCAGCAACTTAAGAAGTTTGCTTGGATTTCAGTCCAGGTGGTGCTCTAAATTCGTCACCCCGCGTGGAAGACACGGTGATGTCAGCGGGCCCGGAGACTCCTGCGAGACTGGGGGTCCTGCCTCTCTTTTTCCTTAGGCTGAGCTGCTTCAGCTTAATTCCCTGAAGTCTCACTGTCTAAATATGAAGCCATCTGGCTCCCTAACTCCCCACATGGCCTCATGTCCCCGGGAAGCAGCAGCTGGAGGCACAGAGGTATCCCAAAGAACAGCTCCTGTTCCGAGGCGCTCCCCAAGCTGCTCCCACCATCATCCAGCTACACAACAGGGGCCCTGAAACAACAGGGGGTTTCTTTTCTTTCCAAAACAGTAGCTCCTGTTAAAGCATAATAATAAATGAAAAAACCCAACAGCTTTCCAAGGAAGATCCTGAGGAACAAGGAGAAACCCCAGGGCAGGGGGTTGGAAGGAGATGAGCTTTAAGGTCCCTCCCAACCCAAGCCATTCTGGGACTCTGTGAACTTGGAACAAACCAGTATTTTTCCTGGAGTACCCAACATATCAACACCCAGGAATAAAATCTGGAAAATGAAATAAATTGAGTGGATTTTTTTTTTTTTATTCAAGTTCAGAGAAATTTTTAATAAATAAATAACCAACTAACCAACCAGACAAGCATCTGTTCTGTGTAGTTTACAGCCCTAAAACTTGTTATCTACCTACTTTTCAATCAAAATCTTTCCAAGGAGACTCCCAAATCATTCTAAAGTGCAACACTTTCAACATTCCTGTATTCCCCACTACTAACCTCGTTATCTGGCTGGCACTGGCTGTCTTTAGTTGGCCTCTGTGTTTTCCTAAGTGTGGATTCCTCAGGATCTGTGGGCTGTAAAAGGAATAAGCTGGTTTAGATTCAATGGGCTGAGATTTACCCAAATCAAGCTCCCTCAGAACAGAAGCATCTTTGATGTCCATCAGTCCTGAATTTCTGCCATGAAGAGAGCAGAAGAGGGGAACAGGAATTATTTAGAGGAGAAAGAGAAGATAAGAAGAACAACAAAATGAAAGGCAATGAAGAGAGTTTAGGATTTACAATCAGGGAATCCCAGAATGGTCAGGGTTGGAAGGGACCTGA